ACTTGAGTTATTCTCTCACTTTATTTAATAACTGCATTAATTATCAGTCATTGGACAGGTGGTGTGCAAAATTAATTTATGCATCATCAACAATAATTTTTTATTTTTTCAGATGCCACTGAGAGAGTAAATGGTTCATAATAGATGTTAAAGGCCTGTTTGGTTTGCATCTCAAAAAACAGTACTGAAAATTATTTTTGGGAAGACTTTTAAGAAAGTGTTTTTTAAAATTTTTAGATTGCAAAACCTGTTTGGTTATATATTTTTCAAAATAGTTTTAAAAACAAAAATTATAAAATTTGTTTGGACAATAATCTACAATTTCTATTTCTCGCTTTAACTCTCTATCTCTTTGTCTCTCTCTTTCACTATGCATCAAAACACACAAAGCACCGATCACCACCGAAACCCACAGAGCATCGAAACCCACAACCTAGCCGAAATCCACAACCACTGAAGACAACCCATAACTACCATTGAAGAAAACCCAGCCGAAACTCACAATCACCACAGAAAACAACAACAAAACCTACAACCACCACCGAAGACAATCCACAGCCACTGCCAAAGTGGTGGTTCGTCTGGATTTGCCAAAGTGGAGGGAGAAACTCAGGTGATAAAACAACGATTTCCCTGGCTTTGGTCTTTGTTGCACAGGATATGGAGAAAACAGACTCTAAGTGAAAGACTTTTATACTTTAACAAAAAAAAAATACATTTTGTTGGAAAGAAAGTTTGATAGGTGGACCTCTTTAAAGAGGAGGAATTGTTTCCCCTGTTTTCTATTTTAACCTCAAAACTCAAAAAATAAGTCATACTTGTTTTCTATTTCTTTGCTCCAAATTTCATTTGTTTCTCAAAAAATTGAGAACAAAAATATTAAACAAACATATTTTGGGTGTTTTTGAAATTTTGAGGACAAAAAATTGTTTTCCAAAACTAAACCAAACACGCCCTAAATTTTTTGTATTAGTTTCTTGTACTCATGAATTGTTGTTATGTTATGCAAAATTGCACATTTTACACTTTGCTTAATTTATGGTATTTTTCTTAGATATGAAAATATTGCTATATTTTTAGAAATGTTAGTCATATTTCCTTGTATTTATCTGTATATTGAATTGTGTAGGTGTAGGGACGTATACTTTTAAATTTATGTGATGAAAATGTATACATGCACAAGACATATAACATTGGTTACCAATTATACATAATACATATTTTTTTAAAAAAAATTATTATTATTTTTTGCTGCGGCATTGTTGCCTTCGTAAAGAATGTAAGTAAAAAAAAATTGCTAGTTTTTGTAACGGCATATTAACCACAAAACAAATCTTCTATTTTTTTACGATAGCCAAAATGGTATTTGGTATTTGAGGCTGCACTTTATCCCCCACCACGTTATTTCCCACTACTAATGCTTGTGTGTGTGTGTGAGTGAGAGAGATAGAGAGAGTCAAATAGAAGATTTACCAACAGCACCAATAAGATAATCCTTCACTGAATATTCACCAGGCACATATTTCTTGATACATATTTATCGGTAATACTACGCTGACCAATACTACGCTCACCATTTGCACTTAAAAACTTTCTTATATAATAAAACAACTTGGCATCACCAATAAGCCAGATCATTTTTGGCGGAGATGGTAAGCTTCAATATCTTTGGTCATAACAAGATGAAAGTCCACCAATGCATTTGCATCTTCGACATCCTCATTAAGCTTCTCGTACTCAAAAGTCCATGTCACCACACTGATTTCACCTTTTGTATCAACATCAACAGTTGCAATCATGGTCTTGTAAAGATCCAAGAGGCTTCCTTCAACCAGCTTCCAAGTGATTGACTTCTTGTCGTCATCAACTGCATCAACAATATCTCTTGTAACCTTCTTTTCCCCACCTATATATGGATGGAATCATACATCTTGTAACCTTGAGCCATGAAAGCGGACTTTGCTTGTAAGTAAATCTAGAAAATGAAGTGACTTACCAAAGGTATAGGACCAAATCATTCTAGATCCCACGGTTCCCCATTCACCTTCATATATTTCAACACCTTGCAAATTACTAGGGCTCATATACGATATTTGGTTTGGTCTGTATCTCCAAATCTCATAGAACAAATCTCCATCAGACTTGATCTCCGTTTGCCCTGTCACCTTACCAGTAAGACCCATTTCTAACCTAGCTATTATCAAACAATGCACAACAGAAATAAAGTGGAGGCAAGTGGTGGATAAAAAAACTTGGTCCTTTGATCTCTATATAACTGATCCCTGACTGAGGATTACATCTTCCAACGTGTGAAACGTGCACAGTGAGATCTCTCTACTATATTTTTTTTCTCTAGTTTTTTCCTTGATAATCATATGTCATAAATTTAAATAAAACTTGTGGTATATAAATAAGTTCCTAATTTATTAATGGTGGATGCCTTTCTAAAAAAAAATTAGATATCTACATTCACGTGCGAGAAAGAAAGAGAGAATGATTGAGACTGGATACCCACTATGGCACCATTATTGTCCTTGGGGTTCGGTGGCCCACAGTACTACTACAAATCACATGATTGATGTGTTTTTGTATAATCCCATCATAGGATTTATAGAACTATTGGTATGTTTGGATGTTCGGAAAAGATTAGATAGGATATTAAATTTATATTCATTCTTATCCATGCCTAACCCACCACTCACTTGCATTGGTTTGAATATATGTCCTATCCGATGTTTGGTAAGTAATTTTTCACTCATATCAAAAACATTATTTAGGTTAACTTGACCATTTTACCCCTTAACATTTTTTTGGGAAAAACCACTCCAACAAGCATCCATTTACATCCACAACCATCCATGTCCCAGCCACATAAAATTTGTCCAAAACCATCCATTTCCACCTCCCCAAACCCCCCCCCCCTCTCTCTCTCTCTCTCTCTCTATGACAGTTGGGCATAAACTCACACACAGATATATATATATATATATACACACACAAATCAACTTACACATATAAATTCACACACCCATACACACACACACACATATATATGTAAACTCACACATGCTGATTTTTTTGTAAATTAGTTCATCCCCAACCACAATAAAAAAACCCAATTCAAAAACCCTTGATCTTCGTCGCGCTAGTATACCAGTCAAGCAGAGAGAGAGAGAGAGAGAGAGAGAGAGAGAGACCAAGATGGCTTGAAGCAGCTTCTTGTCCGCTTTCATCGTCGCCTTCACAGAGTGACCAAACCCATAAATGGTTTGAAGCGAGTGGAACCAGAAATGAGAGGGTAAATATGTCATTACCTATAGAGAACCTATCAGTTGGGATTTAAACTCAAGGGGAAAGTGGGTTAATTTTAACCCATGTAAGAGGGTTAATATTTACTGTAGCAGTCAGGTCATGCTTGGACCCGGGATATATATCCTACCTCATTTTTGTCTTCCCAAACAAAATATTTGTGAGTCCCACTGCATTCTTAGCCTCTCCTTATTGTGTTAACCCACCTTATCCCAGTATCCAAACACACCCTATAAGTCTATTTCAATATCAAAAAGAGCAATGCTATTGTGACNGTCACATAAAATTTGTCCAAAACCTTCCATTTCCACCTCCCCAAACCCTCTCTCTCTCTCTCTCTATGACAGTTGGGCATAAACTCACACACAGATATATATATATATATATACACACACAAATCAACTTACACATATAAATTCACACACCCATACACACACACACACATATATATGTAAACTCACACATGCTGATTTTTTTGTAAATTAGTTCATCCCCAACCACAATAAAAAAACCCAATTCAAAAACCCTTGATCTTCGTCGCGCTAGTATACCAGTCAAGCAGAGAGAGAGAGAGAGAGACCAAGATGGCTTGAAGCAGCTTCTTGTCCGCTTTCATCGTCGCCTTCACAGAGTGACCAAACCCATAAATGGTTTGAAACGAGTGGAACCAGAAATGAGAGGGTAAATATGTCATTACCTATAGAGAACCTATCAGTTGGGATTTAAACTCAAGGGAAAAGTGGGTTAATTTTAACCCATGTAAGAGGGTTAATATTTACTGTAGCAGTCAGGTCATGCTTGGACCCGGGATATATATCCTACCTCATTTTTGTCTTCCCAAACAAAATATTTGTGAGTCCCACTGTATTCTTAGCCTCTCCTTATTGTGTTAACCCACCTTATCCCAGTATCCAAACACACCCTATAAGTCTATTTCAATATCAAAAAGAGCAATGCTATTGTGACATAATTTGCTGACATAATTCACTATGACCGTTAAATTGACTGTGAGCTCCATCAAACATTGGAACTTGATGTTAATCTAATGGTTTCAATGAAACCACGTCATTAGGTCAACAAATTATGTCAGATATTTAGGTCCAAATAGAATTTTTCACTCAAAAATGTTACACTGACCAAATTAAGAATCCAAATGACATGACAGCTGATTTGAATTTTTTTATTTGGTACTATGTCATTTGGGTCCTAATAAAGACTTCAAATGCTATGCTGCCATGTCATTTGAGATCATAATTTGATATCAAAATTTGGTTAACGTAACATTATTGTTTCAAAATTTATTTTGGGTTTAAGTTTATTTTTTATTCAAATGTTTAAACTACCCCCAATCTCCCTTTTTCCTCACAGGAGATATCGATGCAAAAAATAATAATATTTAAAATGAAAAATAATAATATTTTAAACAAAAAATATTAACATTTAAAACTAAAAATAGTAGCATTTAACATAATAGTAACATGAAATGGTAACACGAACAGAATGGTGACAAAAAAAATAACATTTAAAATAAAAGACATGAACATTGAACATAATAGAGATAAGTGAATATTATGTGATGTTACTAATTGATATTACTATGTGTGCGCAATTTGATTGCATTCTTGGAGACTCTCGTTAATTTTGTCAGCAAAGGTGTCTCACATATGAATTTGAGATAAATTCATCGTTAAGTAGCATAAGCGATGATGGATAAGCCTTCAGAAACTAAGTAGCATAAGCGATGATGGATAAGCCTTAAGAAACTATGCGTGTTGAGCTTGTTTTTCTATATAGAGTAAATCTCCACCAGTTGTGATAGCTAAATCAATCCGGGATACATGCCTTAATCTCTTTATTTCAGTCACCGTCTCATCCGATGCCTTAATTTTTTCCTATTTCTTACAGTTACTCCCAATTTCAAATGCCAATAGAATGTTACAATTAATTTTACTTCTGCAATGGAGTTCAAGCATCATTTGATATGGGGTTTTTCTAGCTATATTTCTTCATGTTCTTCCAATCAGCCTTGTGAACATAAAAACACCTCCAGATCTCTGAAGTATTTGATTAGGTTAGCAAAAAATATTATACCAGCTAAGCATATCCACGAGTGTTGGTCACTAGTGCTTTATGTGTGTGTGTGTGAGAGAGAGAGAGAGAGCTTACCAAGCCATTATTTACACAATATTATTTTGACTTAATTCACCGACCTTAACAAATTAGGTTTAAATAACAACATTTTTATTTATATATAGAAAGATACATAAGCACCACCAATAAGATATTCCTACACACTCATTTAGTACTTTGAAAACCAAAAGATAATCCTTCACACAACTTTCACAAAGCCCATATTTCTTGGCTGATACACATTATTCGTAGGAGAAAATAGTCACACATAACACTTTCAAACATTCATATACCAGAAAAGAACTTGGTATCGCCAATAAGCCATATATCTTAGAGAATGTCTATTGTTGGAGATGGTGAGTTTCAATGTCTTTGGTCGTATTAATACACATGTCCATCAATGTATTGGGATCTTCGACGTTTTCATTCAACTTCTCATACTTGAAAGTCCATGTCATCATGTTGCTTTCACCCTTCGTATCAACATGAACAGTTGTGATGAATGTCTTATAAAGCTCCATGAGATCTCCTTCAGTAACCTTGAATGTGACTAGCTTCTTTTCTTCATCAATGGCTTCGATTATCTCCTTTGCAACTTTCTTTTTCCCCTTTGTGGTATCACACCGATTAAATCGATAGAAAAAATAATAATCTCAAGGTGAAATTTGTGTTCTAACAACCTATCAAGTAATATATAGTTCAACCCATAATCAAGCTCTCTAAAATCGGGGCAAGTTGTCTATCGTTTATCTCTCTGAGACCCCATTTGAGAGGTGTTTGTGCACCGCGCATGATTTCTTTTTTTAAGTCTAAGGTCATATTGTGTCACTGTTCAAGTTTCACGCTGCATAATCTTGTATCTTAAATCTTTTCTTCCCTCTAATACTAGGATTCCATTCACTAGAAAGAATAAAACTGCATATATGTACAACTAGAACACCCATTTTTGGTTAGAAATTACAAGATTTGGGATTGAATCACAAAATGAATTTAAAGGTCGTCTTCCCCTCATGTGTGGCCTATCCATCAGCCCACCTCAGCCAAACAATAAAACAAAGAAAAATGCCAAGGGTCAAATGCAAGATGTGTTTAGAACTCTAGGGATCGAAGACCATGAATAATTTGAATATCATCCTAAAAGAAACGGTCACTTGAAAATTATTTTTTATAGGAAATCGTTCTAAAAGTCTTCTTTTGAATTTGTGACTGCAACATAAATCTCATATCGATATAATAACATGCAAATCATTCGCGTCGGTTGAATCCAGTTTTTTTTTTATGGCAAACTATAAAAACTTTGTCAATCAACCTATAAACTGTGGTGTCTTACCCTGGGTGTAGTTTCAAAAGATGACCGATCCTACAGTTCCTCATTCACCTTCATGTAAATTAACACCCTGTACATTTCCAGGGCTCATATTGGATATATGGTGTGGCCTAGCTCTGAAGACCTCATGGAACACATCTCCATCGGACTTGATCTCCGTTTGGCCAACCAACTTACCAGTAAGACCCATTTCTAGTTCAGCTACTCTCAAACAATGCACCACAAAATAAATGTGGAGAAAATACTTGGACCTATGGTCTTTATGTAGTTGAACTATGACTATGGATTAGATCTTTGTTTGCTGGGTGCTACCTCTACTTGTCCAATTATTGCTTATTAGACATAACCTGTCCTATTTGAGAAGGTCCTTTTTTTTTTTTCCCGGTCCGAGACACGAGAAATATCTTCTTTTTTTTTTTTGTTATTTGACGTTTAGGGGGTGTTTAGGTCCTTTTAAGTACAATTCAACTAATCTCCTCTCTGGTTCTATCAAAGACAGACCATCCACATTAGAATTAAGATATTAAAGATCTCTTGTGATCTGACCCTAAGAGATTGTCAAGATTCGAATTTAGAATATTTGAATTTACAACTCATCACTTTTACCATTTGAGCTACTCCACGTGAGAAATATCAATAGCTAAAGAAATTAGGATTTCATATCGTCTCTCACTTTAGTTTCTTAGCTTTTAATATGATTAATTTCTCAGCTTTTAATTTGCTCTTCGACTTTTAACATATAGTGTCTATTAATCTAACTCATAATTATAATCAAACTTTGCATAAAAAAAAAAGTAATTAGGGCGCCTTTTTTTTTCGAACAGAGAAAAAAGGAAATAAGAGATTTGTCAAATCGGTATGCATAGAAAAAATATAAAAACCTCTAATATAACATTTCAAGACACAATNAAAAAAGGAAATAAGAGATTTGTCAAATCGGTATGCATAGAAAAAATATAAAAACCTCTAATATAACATTTCAAGACACAATTTTTACCCCGGATATGTAGTTTCAATTGAGTCCATGTTTTGTGAGTCTCATGTGTTTATATGTGTAGCAGAAATTCATAGAAAGGGGAAGAAAACGAGGATAGAATATTCAATTATAGGCTTAATTTTGATTCATTATAGAATTAATTTGAAAATTAGGATATTTTATTTTTGTATTAGATTGTAAACATTAGTTTTGTTGATGTAACCGATATAAATTCATTAAGATTTTAAAAGATAATTAGTTGTCTCTATTTCTTGTAAAATGTCACATTATTTCAATACGTAGCCTATTAATTATTATGAGCTACCACCAGAAGACTGGGACTGGAGACCTACCATGGCATCATTGCAGTCTGCATCAAGTTCAACTTCATCAACTCACTTCACCAATAAGGACCTGACTGACAAACAAAATTAGGTATTGTAATTCTAAAATTTATTATTTTAATAAATATTTTTTAATTTTAATGAAATATTTTATNAGAATGGTGACAAAAAAAATAACATTTAAAATAAAAGACATGAACATTGAACATAATAGAGATAAGTGAATATTATGTGATGTTACTAATTGATATTACTATGTGTGCGCAATTTGATTGCATTCTTGGAGACTCTCGTTAATTTTGTCAGCAAACGTGTCTCACATATGAATTTGAGATAAATTCATCGTTAAGTAGCATAAGCGATGATGGATAAGCCTTCAGAAACTAAGTAGCATAAGCGATGATGGATAAGCCTTAAGAAACTATGCGTGTTGAGCTTGTTTTTCTATATAGAGTAAATCTCCACCAGTTGTGATAGCTAAATCAATCCGGGATACATGCCTTAATCTCTTTATTTCAGTCACCGTCTCATCCGATGCCTTAATTTTTTCCTATTTCTTACAGTTACTCCCAATTTCAAATGCCAATAGAATGTTACAATTAATTTTACTTCTGCAATGGAGTTCAAGCATCATTTGATATGGGGTTTTTCTAGCTATATTTCTTCATGTTCTTCCAATCAGCCTTGTGAACATAAAAACACCTCCAGATCTCTGAAGTATTTGATTAGGTTAGCAAAAAATATTATACCAGCTAAGCATATCCACGAGTGTTGGTCACTAGTGCTTTATGTGTGTGTGTGTGAGAGAGAGAGAGAGAGCTTACCAAGCCATTATTTACACAATATTATTTTGACTTAATTCACCGACCTTAACAAATTAGGTTTAAATAACAACATTTTTATTTATATATAGAAAGATACATAAGCACCACCAATAAGATATTCCTACACACTCATTTAGTACTTTGAAAACCAAAAGATAATCCTTCACACAACTTTCACAAAGCCCATATTTCTTGGCTGATACACATTATTCGTAGGAGAAAATAGTCACACATAACACTTTCAAACATTCATATACCAGAAAAGAACTTGGTATCGCCAATAAGCCATANCAAGATATTCCTACACACTCATTTAGTACTTTGAAAACCAAAAGATAATCCTTCACACAACTTTCACAAAGCCCGTATTTCGTGGCTGATACACATTATTCGTAGGAGAAAATAGTCACACATAACACTTTCAAACATTCATATACCAGAAAAGAACTTGGTATCGCCAATAAGCCATATATCTTAGAGAATGTCTATTGTTGGAGATGGTGAGTTTCAATGTCTTTGGTCGTATTAATACACATGTCCATCAATGTATTGGGATCTTCGACGTTTTCATTCAACTTCTCATACTTGAAAGTCCATGTCACCATGTTGCTTTCACCCTTCGTATCAACATGAACAGTTGTGATGAATGTCTTATAAAGCTCCATGAGATCTCCTTCAGTAACCTTGAATGTGACTAGCTTCTTTTCTTCATCAATGGCTTCGATTATCNCGAAGGTCCATGTCACCATGTTGCTTTCACCCTTCGTATCAACATGAACAGTTGTGATGAATGTCTTATAAAGNTGAAAGTCCATGTCATCATGTTGCTTTCACCCTTCGTATCAACATGAACAGTTGTGATGAATGTCTTATAAAGCTCCATGAGATCTCCTTCAGTAACCTTGAATGTGACTAGCTTCTTTTCTTCATCAATGGCTTCGATTATCTCCTTTGCAACTTTCTTTTTCCCCTTTGTGGTATCACACCGATTAAATCGATAGAAAAAATAATAATCTCAAGGTGAAATTTGTGTTCTAACAACCTATCAAGTAATATATAGTTCAACCCATAATCAAGCTCTCCAAAATCGGGGCAAGTTGTCTATCGTTTATCTCTCTGAGACCCCATTTGAGAGGTGTTTGTGCACCGCGCATGATTTCTTTTTTTAAGTCTAAGGTCATATTGTGTCACTGTTCAAGTTTCACGCTGCATAATCTTGTATCTTAAATCTTTTCTTCCCTCTAATACTAGGATTCCATTCACTAGAAAGAATAAAACTGCATATATGTACAACTAGAACACCCATTTTTGGTTAGAAATTACAAGATTTGGGATTGAATCACAAAATGAATTTAAAGGTCGTCTTCCCCTCATGTGTGGCCTATCCATCAGCCCACCTCAGCCAAACAATAAAACAAAGAAAAATGCCAAGGGTCAAATGCAAGATGTGTTTAGAAGTCTAGGGATCGAAGACCATGAATAATTTGAATATCATCCTAAAAGAAACGGTCACTTGAAAATTATTTTTTATAGGAAATCGTTCTAAAAGTCTTCTTTTNATAATTTGAATATCATCCTAAAAGAAACGGTCACTTGAAAATTATTTTTTATAGGAAATCGTTCTTAAAGTCTTCTTTGGAATTTGTCACTGCAACATAAATCTCATATCGATATAATAACATGCAAATCATTCGCGTCGGTTGANAAAAGTCTTCTTTTGAATTTGTGACTGCAACATAAATCTCATATCGATATAATAACATGCAAATCATTCGCGTCGGTTGAATCCAGTTTTTTTTTTATGGCAAACTATAAAAACTTTGTCAATCAACCTATAAACTGTGGTGTCTTACCCTGGGTGTAGTTCCAAAAGATGACCGATCCTACAGTTCCTCATTCACCTTCATGTAAATTAACACCCTGTACATTTCCAGGGCTCATATTGGATATATGGTGTGGCCTAGCTCTGAAGACCTCATGGAACACATCTCCATCGGACTTGATCTCCGTTTGGCCAACCAACTTACCAGTAAGACCCATTTCTAGTTCAGCTACTCTCAAACAATGCACCACAAAATAAATGTGGAGAAAATACTTGGACCTATGGTCTTTATGTAGTTGAACTATGACTATGGATTAGATATTTGTTTGCTGGGTGCTACCTCTACTTGTCCAATTATTGCTTATTAGACATAACCTGTCCTACTTGAGAAGGTCCTTTTTTTTTTTTCCCGGTCCGAGACACGAGAAATATCTTCTTTTTTTTTTTTGTTATTTGACGTTTAGGGGGTGTTTAGGTCCTTTTAAGTACAATTCAACTAATCTCCTCTCTGGTTCTATCAAAGACAGACCATCCACATTAGAATTAAGATATTAAAGATCTCTTGTGATCTGACCCTAAGAGATTGTCAAGATTCGAATTTAGAATATTTGAATTTACAACTCATCACTTTTACCATTTGAGCTACTCCACGTGAGAAATATCAATAGCTAAAGAAATTAGGATTTCATATCGTCTCTCACTTTAGTTTCTTAGCTTTTAATATGATTAATTTCTCAGCTTTTAATTTGCTCTTCGACTTTTAACATATAGTGTCTATTAATCTAACTCATAATTATAATCAAACTTTGCATAAAAAAAAAAGTAATTAGGGCGCCTTTTTTTTTCGAACAGAGAAAAAAGGAAATAAGAGATTTGTCAAATCGGTATGCATAGAAAAAATATAAAAACCTCTAATATAACATTTCAAGACACAATTTTTACCCCGAATATGTTGTTTCAATTGAGTCCATGTTTTGTGAGTCTCATGTGTTTATATGTGTAGCAGAAATTCATAGAAAGGGGAAGAAAACGAGGATAGAATATTCAATTATAGGCTTAATTTTGATTCATTATAGAATTAATTTGAAAATTAGGATATTTTATTTTTGTATTAGATTGTAAACATTAGTTTTGTTGATGTAACCGATATAAATTCATTAAGATTTTAAAAGATAATTAGTTGTCTCTATTTCTTGTAAAATGTCACATTATTTCAATACGTAG